ACTGCAGCCCTGCTTATTACAGCAAAGTATCAAACAACCTGTGTCCAACCAAGGACGCACTAAGAAGCTTGCTCCTTAGAAACACGCCATCATGGAGCCATTTGGCCTGTTCAACAACGGTTTACCAAGCACCTACTGTATGCCAAGCGTGGCTCCAACCTGGGATGATCAGTGAACAACGCAAACATTCCTGCCTACCAGTGTCAACGTGCTAGAAGTGGGAATCAAACAATAAACTACAGAGCATGTTGGGAAATGAGAGATCTGGAAAAAAAGGAAAAAGGCAAGCAGAGGAAGGGAACCAGTGGTACATGCATGGCAGGAAACAAGTTACAACAGTACAACGAATGACAGAGATCCATGTGCCCAAAGTGGAAAGACAACTGTGTACCCACCAAGTCACAGAACACTATCAGGGTTGTGTTTTCTTTTTAAAAAGCTAAGTTACATGTAGATACTCACAGGTATGTGTAACTAAACACACAAAACCCCTGGCAAGTTAAACCCAAGCTGTTATCAGTGGAAAGAGGAGAGGACAAAAATGAGGATTCTGCTCAAAAAGTGAGAAATTTTAGTGCCTTCACGTGGGTGTGTCCCCATGTATTCTTCCAGTAGAGAGGAAAAAAGTTCAGACAGCAGGAAGAAAAAGGAATAGCTTCAATTTTATTTAGGGTTTTCCCTCTGCAAAAAGCTGTGTTCAATTCTACCCTACATCTGCAAGAAAATTTTGTGTTCCAAACTGATTTAGAGGTATGAAGTCCTGCAAAAATGCTTCACCTCCATTTAGCTTAGTCCCAATGATTAAAATCTCCCCAAACACGTTAACAGTAGTGAAATAAAACCTTGAGTCTTAAAGCAGTAAAGTTTCTCTAGGTGCGTATCTGTGACTTGCAAATGTCTGGCGTACTTATATATTTATACCCGACCTTATCCCAAAAGGATGTGAGATGAAAATGGCTAGAATTACCTTCCAATTTAAAAACTCTCAAAATGATGAGTGGAGTACAAAGCACTCAGGTTACACATGAGTTATTAAAAATTGACGTTAACTGCAGTCATGAGAATGTTCTACAATTGACTGCGTGATAATGGCACAACTCAGTCAATGAACTAAAAACCACTCAAGTGCACCCTTTAGTGGGGGAATGTGTTATGCAAATTCCATCTCAATAAAGCTGTTATAAAGACGTAAATGCTCATAACCTTCAAGCACTCTAAGCATGAAATTGCACTTTCTAGAACAAGAATGGCCAATTCGTGCTCTCAGGGCTGCCAAGGGCTCTTCAGCACTTTGGGCCTGGTCCCGCAGTAAATGGGGGGCGGGGAGGGGAGTGCGGAGCAGACACATAAAGGTTAACACGCCAAGCATCCCTGTTAAAAAGTAAGAAAAGCAAAGACTTTGCATTCTAGTGCATGTTTTAGCGTGTCTATCCTCAAACTGGATGGATTTGGGGGAGCCTCTCCTCAGGCAATCTGGTGAATCTAAGCTCCCCTCTCAATCAGACGTGTCACCACACAAATATCCAAACTTCCCACAAGGGCTACCAATGGTGCTCCAGACTGTGCTATTTTATGTGGAGAACCGGTTCATGTATTCGTGTGCGACTTGTACAACTAAAACTTTAAAATTAAAGGACGAGACTTGTCTAATGGACTGCAGTTCTCTCCACCTGCCTACCGTGTGCTGGAGACGCAGCAATGAACAAGCCCGGTAAGGTCCCTGGCCTCCAAAGCTGGTGCTCTAGAAGCAGACGACACTCAAACTGCCCCAAATCCACAGTCTCTAAGGAAGCACAAAGCAAGGTAAGGCAGGACAGGTGGTCAGGAAAGGCTGTTCTAAAATAACACCTGCACGGAGGGTGATGATTCGAAAGAAGCAACCATCCACACCTGTGGAGCTGAGGCAGGAGGGGCCAGCACAGTGCATCTGAGGAACAGAACACCCTGCGGGCTGCGAGCCTGAGCCCACAGGAAGGGCTGGCGTGGGCTGCTCTTTGCCGCTCTGGGTCTGACATGATGAGACCAGAGAGGCTGGGCGCTGTTCGTACTCCAGGCACAAGAAGCCAGCAGGGGCTTCAAGAAGGGACTGACTAGATCCGACCTCCTCTGCCTAACGCAATACCCTAAGAATAAGTCACGGCCAATGCCACCAAGGGAGGTTCGAGTTGACTTCTTACAGAAGATCCGAACGACCGAAGGGACATGAAAGAACTCCTGGGGGTGACGGAAGTATTGTAGGTCCTGACAGGGGTCGTTGTTACACAACTGTGTGAGTGTACCTAAATCCATAGAAACATAACACCTAGAAAAGTTAAATTTTCCTTTCTGTAAATTATACTACCAACTAAACTAAGCAAACAAACTAAAAGCTAAGGGAATATATTAGCAAAACCAAAACGGAAACAAAATGTAATTTCTGTCCTACGTGACTTGCCAGGCTTTTAGTGAAGGAGTGCTTCTTCCTGCGTGTATGAACTAAACAACTAATTTTTTTCATTACCTAGTCATTTAAATTACATATTTCAATAATACTCTTACTAAAATGATCTGTTTTAGAGTCTATGTCCATCGTGTTATCCTGAGCAATACCAGCAATATAGAGAAACGTAAGACAACAGTACTGCCAACTAAAGGACACAATTTTAAGGAAAAATTCACACACAAAGCAACTCAGGCAACAGCTTTTGAGCCCCTGGATACATAAGCCTTGCTCTCTGACTTTATCACCCACCACTCAAGCCTTGCCCTCGACCCCTCAGTAACACAACCTGCCATGCTGACTTGCATTTCCTCCTTCTGCTTGTTCTCCCTCCGACTGGAATGCCACTCCCCTCTGGAATGTGAGGTTAAACCTACTAGCCCTTCAGCAGAGCAAGGCCTCTCCTCTAGAAGCCTCCCCTGTACCCCAGAGGCCAGGCTAAATGTTCCTCCTCAGGGTCCATCTCTTACTGAAACGCTGCCTTCATGTATCTTCCCTCTCCAGACTGCAAACATCCTTGGGGAATGATTTCATATCTCATATTCTTTTATTCTAAGTGCCTAACAGTGACAAGTACAAAGAAGATGCTTGATAAATGCAAAACTAACCTCGCTATGTGCAGGCACTGCACTAAGCTGTCTACATATATTTCAGGTGAGAAAACAGATTCCTAAGTGTGAGTAACTAGTCCAAGGTAGAAACGAGATTGAACCCAGTTCAGGCGAGGAACTCCAAGCTCCTTCCCCTCCATGGTCCCAATAATGTAAACCGTGTTCAAGGTAAGTGGCTGGGAGTTTTGTCGGAGGGAGAGAGTGTTAAAGTCAGGTATAGTGGGGATCTCTTAAAAGGGGTGGAACTTGAACTTGGACCTGAAAACATGGGAAGGGAAGGAAAAGGGGGAAAATACCAGTCTAAGCAAAGACTCAGACCAGAATTCAATATGATTCATAAATAACTCTCTGATCTAGAAGTATGCCCCATTAACATATTTATACCTCCCCTCAAGTTCCTCAACAGCGTGATCAGGATCTTAGCCATCTCAGCCCTCTGTGTTTGAAACTCCAGCACAGGGCCTTAAACAGAGCAGAGCAAAAAGAAAAGTTACACTTACCGTGTGCCCGTACACACACCGAAGTGGAAATTGCTCGCTTGCCAATTAGGCTAAATATTCTGGTAGCCAACATTCTGAAAGACAAAAACGTACCTTCCCTATGAATAAGCGTAAACACCTATTAGGAATGATTCTTCTTTTTGCCCCAATGCATTTTGGAAGTCAATGCAATTCTTTTTTCTTCTTCTCCCCCCTAACATAACTGATCCCTTCTTCATTACTGACTCTGAAATCACTAATTAAACTAGGATGAGGTTTTTTTTTCTCAGCAGTCAGCACGTCTTAACGGAACTTCATTATAAACCAAGCACCATATGCATGCACTTAAGGCAATTCAGAGAAAACTGGGTTTTGGGGTTATTTTGCATATCGTTTCTCTGCTTTTGTCTTTTAAACATTGGCTTTCTTACAAAGCAAAGAGAAAAATATTTTTAAAGGAGACTCTGGAAAAGCTAGAATGTGCTGCTATGATGGGCTCCATTGTTCAGAGAAAAAAAGTCAACAGTTCAAAGGGACGGTGGCACGCACTGCATTCATTATTTGGTTTAAGACCTAATGTGTGCACAAGACAGGAAGGGGAAACCCGGGAGAAAGGCTGCAAACAGGGCCCTGGGCCACTTCCAAACCCTGCAGGACAACGAATGACCTGGATGACCCACCTCTCACCTGGGCCTTCACTGAATCATGCCTAACTGCCCTACCTCCCCCTCCCTTAAAACTGGAGGTTTCAGGGGACCCCACCGATGACGAAAAGGATGCCAAACGCATTCAGAAAATACCCATTACGGGCAGAATAAACAGAAGCATGACCTCAGGGCTGAACTCGTTCTCGTTTCCCGTGTTTTCTCCACCTGCCTGGCCCGCGCGTGGGCGGACGCCGAACGCCTGCCCCTGAGCCCCGTTACACCCGGGGCGGTGGCGCAGCACCGTCTGAAGGAGTGGCCGGGAGCCCGCAAAGCGACCTGCCCTAGGGTGCGCGCCCGCGGCCAGCGGACGCTCCAAGGTCAGAGCCGAAGCCAGCCCGCGGCCGCGACAGCGCAGGCGAGGACCGGCCGATGCTTCTGGGAGGCACAGAGACCGCCACCCGGCAGCTCCGGAGCCCGGAGCCCCCGCCGGCCGGCCTCAATGTCACCGGGACCGGAGGCCCAACGCCGGTTCCTACTGGCGCCGCGCGGCGCTCACGCAGGCCCGACGGCTCCCTGCGCCCGACCCTCACCAGTCTCGCGACGCAGACCGGTCGCCGGCTGCCTCACCTGCCGCCGCCCGGCCGCTGCTCACCTTGCCCGCCAACGACCGCCCTCTACGCCCCGGCTACTCACGACCGGAAAAGAGCGAGGCCGCGCCGCGGAGCACCACGGGATCGAGGAAGACCCCACCCCGCGCCCGACCGCACTGGAGGTCACAGGACCGGAAGTCGGGGGGCGCCGCGAACGTCGTAAAACGCAGAGCCGGGCTGCTTTCCGGCGGCCGCTGGGAGACAGCTTTTCGGCGGCGCCCGGCGAGAGGCGCGAGGGGAGTCTGACGTGGGCTCATCGGTCTCTCCCGGGGGGAAGCCGGCGTCGAGAGGAGCCGAGCCCAAGCGGGGCCTGGCCTGTGGGGGCCTCCGCCAGCCGCGGGGCCGCGCCAGGCAGCCGCCGCCTCGTCCCACTTCTCCCCTGAGGCGCCGCACGGCCGGGCAGCGGATCCAGGCCTCGGTCGGCGCCGGGCCTCCGGGGCCCTCCCGGGCTCAGCATGCCCGGGGTGAAGCTGACCACCCAGGCCTACTGCAAGATGGTGCTGCACGGCGCCAAGTACCCGCACTGCGCCGTCAACGGACTGCTGGTAGCCGAGAAGCAGAAGCCGCGCAAGGAGCACCTTCCTCTGGGCGGCCCGGGTGCCCACCACACCCTCTTCGTGGACTGTATACCCCTCTTCCACGGCACCCTGGCCCTCGCCCCCATGCTGGAGGTGGCCCTCACCCTGGTAAGCGCGGTAAGGGTCCTGCCTCGGAATCAGCAGGGCAGGAGACCGCCTGGCGATCAGCTTCCGAGCAGTCCCAGCTGGAAGCTCACAGTGGTCCAGCCGGAGTCTAGACCCACCCCCGAGGTAGCCGTGACCACGAACGGACGACCCGCGAGGGGGCATAGGACTTTGCCTGCACTTAGCAAGGCCCCGCAGATGGCCGCTCGTAGTGGCAGCGGCCGCAGGAGCGATCTTAACCGTCCTGGGTGTTTTTAGACGCTTTAGGCGACGAATAATGCATTAATTTTCTCACACCAGTATCCTTTATAGAAACAAGCCGTCGTTAGCTGAGCGATGATTTGACAGCGTTTATATTTGGGATTTTGAGTCACGGGAAGTTTTGACACTGCGATTTGGCTTCTGCGCACCTTCGCGGGGCCGGATCCGTGTCTGCCGTCGGTGTAAAGGCTGCGGTTCTTCCGACGTTAGTGCCCCAGACCCCGAGGGTGGAGACACGTTTAGAGGCAGCGTTGGCCTCACGGGCACTGCGGCCCGAGAATGCGCCTGAGCGCTTTGTAAGGGAAGCTCGTCTGTCCTCCTTAGTGACATCTAGAATGCACCCGTGGTTTTAAAAGCTAAAACCCGCAGATGGCAGGTTTGTGGAATTTAAAAGCCGGAGCAGACATACCTTCCAGCCCACACACTTCTGTGGGTCTGCTCACGACTGGTCGGTCTATTGAAGTACAGTGAGAAAAGATGTGGCATAGGGATAGACTGGCTGGTCATTGAATCCTAGGCAGTGCTTATTGAGGTATGGTGACCCATAAAGGAAAAAAGAACACCGATAAATTTGAGTTGAAACCTTAGGGAAAAATAAACTGTAGACTCAGACCTGCCTGGCTTGAGGTACAGTTTTTCATATGCGTATAAACTATGTTACTAAAAAAAATTAGTTGATTATGCAAAAAGTAGTTAAGTTTGAGAAGGTGTAGCTAGAAGTCCTTTCTCTATACCTCCCAACAAGTAAAATGAATTCATTTTGTAATTTACCTAATTATGACACCCATGCAAAGTCTTGGTAAGCAGAAAGTATCTTTAGACAAACGGTCCTCGCCTAAGCTTACTGGGCACATCTTTGAATGCCTTTTAAACTGAGTCACTGTCTGAATTTCTTCATATCATCTTGGGGCAGGAGATAGATCAGAAGCAGATGATATTTATAAAATCAACCATTTTAGCTCCTGAAGAAATAGCTTGTCAGTACCGATACATCCCTAGGGTGTGCATGTGTCTGTTACTTCAAGTCTTTTCAACCACCTGTCTTGATTATTTTGTTATCAAGGGAATTGCGTGGCGATTGGATATGTGAAGTGCATTCACTTTCGGGAACTAGATTAACCAGTAGCATTAATGCAGGATTATTCAGTTGTCCAGTAGTGTCAGGCCTGTGCTGGCGGAGGGATATGGCTATGGATCAAACACTGTACCTGCTTAGCAGTTGAACTTGTACCAAGGGGACAAGTACAGTAGCGAAGAATAAGTGCCATATCAGGAGTTAAGCAGGAAGTGGGGAAGGTTCACGTAACCCAGCTTTCCTTCAGGGGATGGAGGAAAACCACTCAAGGCAGAGGGAGTAGCTTGTGCAAAGACCAGGAGAAAATGGGGGGAGGGGTATTTCGGGAAGAGCTAGAGTGTAAAGTATAAAGCGACCTGGCATGGAGAGAGGTGAGCAGTGGGCAGATTTCATTGTAGAGGACCTTGCAGATCACACAGCGGAGTTTGGGCTCCATCATGAGGACAGGGAAGCCACTGGAGGAGAGTTGCATGGTCACATTTGTGTCTTGGAGTGATTGCCCCAGCCTGCAGCAAAGAGGATGTTGGGAACGGGAGTGTATATAATACTAGAGGCAGAGAGGTGGCCTAAACTAAGTGCACTGTGGAAGCAGAGGAGACAGACCAGAGAGAGCCAGGAGGGAGAATCCACAGTATTCAGTGACTAATCGTGTGGGGACATAGGGAAAAGGAAGCAAGGGTGACACACCTCTATTTCTGACTTAAGCATCAGAAGGACAGTGGCACCATTCGTTGAAGGAAAATGACCTAGTGTTGACGGCTGAAAAATGGGTCTGAAACTCAGAAGATGGGTGGGCTGGAGACGTAGATGGGGGACCAGTAGCTTCTCAATGACTCTTGAAGCCGTGAGAGCAGGTCCTATTGGCTGGGACTGTGTGTAATGAGTAGAGAGCCATGGACAGAAACCTGAGGAACTCCAGCTTCTGCGGGGTGGGTGGAAGAAGGGAAGTCAGCAGACTAACCAAGGTGGAGCCAGGGTGGGTAGGAGGAAAAGGTGTGTTGCTTTAAATCCCTAGAAAATCCTATCAGAAATAAAGAGCATCTTAAAGGCAAACTTGAGCCTCACTTGGAATTGTCAAAATAGGATTAATTCTTCTCATCCTTAAGTAAGCTCTACAGAGTTAAAGGGTTGCGTTCCTATTACAAGATATACATGCAATACTTGAACGAATTAAATATACCAGCTGTAAGCAGCCACATTCAGAGTCGCCTTTTCGTGAATTTTCCCCAAGGATTAGGGCTGTGTCCACCGTTTACCTGGGGAGGGCAGATGCCCAGAGGGGACCTCGACTCTTAAGGCAGGCCCACTGCCACAGCTTGTTAAGGGGCACTGCTTGAGGCCTTGTTCTGACCCTGTTCCCCCTGCACCACTGCACGATGCACTCCAGACTCGCCTTCCAGCATGTCCCCAAATGTGCCCTTCAGTGTTTGGGTCTGCTGTCCAGCAAAATTAGGTGCAAACTAGATTCTCTGCGCTTAGCTTCTTTTCAAACAGTAGAAACTAACAGCCAAAGTTTTATCCTTGCCAAGCAGTGGTGGTTTGTGCTTACTTTTCTTCTGTTGATCAAAACTTTGAATCATAGACTCAGAATTTGAAAAATATGAGAAAGATGTCAACTGGGTACAAATTAAATAACTTTCAAAATAAAGTTATAAAGGAAAATTTGCAATTTGGGTCCATCCACAAATTTTGTATTACAATCAAGATATTTAAGTTTATATCATTCAGCTTTTGACTTAGCAACTTTATAACCTGAAGGCAGTGAAAAAAATCTCAGTGTATGGAGCCATGGTTTATCAGCTATAGAAGATGTAGTTTTAATAAAGCATGTAACTCCATAAAACTGTATAAACGAGGCCTAATTCTCGCAGCTTGTTTCTATTCAGGGAGTTTCGTATTGAGTTATTTTTGATAAGTGGGAAAGACTGACTCGATATGCAGTCCATCAAAGGGCAGCCTCAGATTCCTTTGCAAGGCTTTTCATTATAATTTTCCATTTAAAAAAATCCTTGCATTTCTGGGTGCTTTCTATTTTTTTTTAAGTACTTATGCCTGTTAATTTATCCTTATAACCCTTTGACGTAGGTAGTGATGGAATTATTTCTAAAAGCAAAAATCCATAAAATGTCAGTAGGGAAATGAGCATAAACCTGCTGTTTCCCTAAGCCCTCTTTGCCCTTTTCCCCGGTCGGTGGCTTCCTGGTGCCGTGGAGCTGCTCTGCATTACATTCTGCTCCAGGACTTCCTTCTTTGCCGGTTGGTCTAGTCACCGTGACTTGGGTCTGGAATTCTTTCTGCTGCCTCCACATGTGCCTTCTCTACTCATCCACACAGGCTGCTGCCCCTCTGGCTTTTGGCTCAGCCCCCTGCTTCCTCCTGCCCCTTTTTCTCTCCAGAACATAAACGTGCTGGCCTGGGAGAGGGAGCTGGCTGCTCTGGGTTCTCCTTTCAGTTCTTCCCCTTGACCTTCACCCTCTGTCCGCATGCCATTTACCTCCAGAGCTTTTCCTCCTTGGAGCCAGCTCCTTTCCTGCCAGAGAAGAATCAGCAGCCGACTTGAGAAGGAGCTTTTCTTCTCCGTGAAACTAACAACCCCTCTACTTTTAGAAGCCAAGGCCTGCTCATTGCTGCAGACAGGGAGGCTGACAGACACACCCAGCTCGTAAGTGGCAAACACGGGAGCAGCGCCCTGCTGGGGGTGGCTCTTATCAGCTCCCTGCGTCGCCTACTTCATGGCTGTTATATAGCCACCTGAGGTGGGTGATGGTGCTTTGAAAATTACAAAGTGCCTCATACGTGCAAGTGTTAGCGAGATTGCTGAGAGAAGCTGCTTTCTTTGTGCAGTCTAACTGGGAACGGATGAGTTGGGCCCAGGGCCTTCAGTCGTTCTCCTATGTGTCTGGAATGGAACGAGCCTGAAAGGGCATTGAACAGAGGGTGGCAGACTTATGCCAAGGTGAAAGTGTCCTTCTTTCCCTCTGAAAAGTAAAAGAAACTACATAAGCCAATGCAGGATTTGGACCCTGTATTCAGAGTCACTTGACGAGCTTCAGAGTGTTGCCCTGAACTTTTTCATTTTGATCGTTCACAAGATGCATCACGGGAGTAGGGCATCTTAGCAGCAAGGTGAGGAAGGTGGAAGAGGATTCGTTGAGAACAGCGGTCAGACAGCTTCTCGGTTCTTTTGCCTTGTCCGGCCCCACTTGGGAGGGAGCGAGTTGCCGTTTGGGCTGACTTCAGGATTCTGAGGGCCCTCAAGAGCTGCCTGCCCCACCCCCACCCTCCCGACTGTCCACACTGCTCGCCTCCTCCCACACCCTGACTCTTACTGCCCGCCGGGTCACTCTCACCGATGAGGTCTGGTTCCACTGAAACTTGTTTACGTCCCCTCTGTGGGCTCTGATGGCCAGTTCTCCATTCCTCAACTGGGGGCCACTTGTGTCTGAATCTGGACAGCTGTGGACAGGCTGTGCGTGCCTGTCAACAGGCATCCAGACTTAACCTGGTCGTTCTTTTTTGAATCATTGAAAGCTTTCTAAAGCCAAGCCAGAGCTTTTGTGCCTGGTTCACTTTTGGGTCAGCCTCTTCAAAGAGTTCTACTAGGGAGATCCCTGGTGATCTAGTGGTTAGGACTTAGTGCTTTCAATGCCAGGGCCCAGGTTCAATCCCTGGTCAAGGAACTAAGATCCCGCAAGCCATGCGGCATTGCCAAAAAAACAAAAACAAAACAAAAGGGCTTCCCTGGTGGCTCAGTGGATAAGAATCTGCCTGCTAATGCAGGGGACACAGGTTCGAGCCCTGGTCTGAGAAGATCCCACATGCCGCAGAGCAACTAAGCCCGTGCACCACAGCTACTAAGCCTGCGCTCTAGAGCCCGCAAGCCACAACTACTGAGCCTGCGAGCCACAACTGTTGAAGCCCGCGTGCCTAGAGCCCGTGCTCCGCAGCAAGAGAAGCCACCGCAATGAGAAGCATGCGCACCACAACGAAGAGTAGCCCCTGCTCCCCGCAACTAGAGAAAGCCCGCACACAGCAACAAAGAACCAATGCAGCCAAAAATAAATTAAATAAAGAAATTTTTTAAAAAAAGAGTTCTACTAGAAGTTCAAGGTCCTGACATTATTTTTCTGCTGGAATTTGGTTAGGCCCTTGGAGTTTTACATACAGGAATTCACCCCTCGTTAGGTAAAGTGTAAGTTGAGGTGTGCATTGTGTTTGTCACAAGAATCATCCTTCATGTCAAGTGACTCCTCTGCTCTCTGAGTGCAGGTATAAGGTGACACCACGTGTTTGCTAAGGATTGAGTCCTGAACCGATACCTTCAGCCCAGGAAAGGGATCTGGGAGCAGCTTAGACTGCTCGCTGAAGACTGCTGCGGGAGTCCCTGGTGGCGTAGTGGTTAGGAATCTGGGCTTTCACTGCCATGGCGCGGGTTGATCCCTGGTCAGGGAACTGAGATCCCGCAAGCTCATGGCCATGAGCTTGGCGCAGCATGGCCATAAAAAAGGACTACTGCTGGGGATGGTCAGGATAGCAGCAGCAGAAAATAATTATCTTATATTAAACGTAGCTGTGGGGGGCCAAAAAATGGCCCCCCAAGGTGTCCACACCTCAATCCTTGGATGGTGGGCCAAAAAATGGCCCCCCAAGGTGTCCACACCTCAATTCTTGGAAGCTGTGAACGTGTAACCTTACGTGGTAAAAGGGACTGCAAATGAGATGAAGTTAAGGATCTTGAGACGTGGTGATTATCCTAGATTGTCTGATGGACCCAGTGTCATCACAAGGGTCCTCGTAAGAGGCAGCAGGGTAAGAGTCAGAAGAGTTGTGACAGAAGCAGAGGTCAGAGTGGTACAGCCACCAGCCAAGGAATGTGGTGACCCCTAGGTGTCGGGAAAGGCAAGGAACGAATTCTCCCCTAGAGCCTCCAGAAGGAATCAGCCCAGCGGACCCAGTTTAGACTTCTGACCCGTAAGATAAATTTGTGTATTAAGCCACTAAGTTTTTGTAACTTGTTACAAGGGCATTAGGAAGCCAGGACAGTAGCCAAACTCGGGGTACCATCTGTAGTTGTGACTCTGGCTATAAGAACAGCCCACACCACAGGGCTGGGAGAGGGGCACCAAAGTAGGCAGGGGCGAGGGTCACCTCAAGTGAGGACACACTCAAGAGACCAGTCTTTGATCAGAAACAAAGACTGAGAGGGCTACACTAAAGGATGGGCTAACTTATGGGTTTGAGTTCAGGGAATGGGACCAAATGCCAAATTTTAGAACAGGGCTATGCCCTTTGATACCACATAGAGATACATTTAGAAAGAAATGAAAGAATTTGCTGCTGTAAGCAGCAATAGAGGGTTTCTAGAACTCATTCCTTTAAGATCTGATAGAAACAAAATATAAGTAGTTGTGGAAGAATTTGCATCAAAGTTACAGTGAAAGAGCCATTATAAATATTTTGTAGACATGGCTCTCGTCTTTTGAGTGGATGACCAAAACGTCTAATTCGTTCACTAAGCCTTGGTTTTGCCCAAATGTGGTAATTTGTGAGCTCTTAGGAAGCCAGAATTATTATTCTAATCCTTGTGTGAGCGAGGGAACCTTGGTCTGTAACCATTCTGTAATGTCTGCTTTTAGTCATAAAGGAGACTGTTGGAGACCCAAACCAGAACTTGAGAAAAAGAGCAATAGAGCTATGTTTAAAAAAAAAAAATAAAAAAGAAAAGAAAAACATTTTTAACCAGTTACTTTGAAAAACTCGAGGATCAATTTTATCTCTTCTTTTGCAGACTGAGGATAGAATTTACTGCAGTGTATTATTAAAATTCCATTATGGCAAAACAGAATGGCCTTTTGTTGCTTTTAATAATAGCATTAGACCTGCAGGATGCTAAATCTGATGAGAGAAGAGTGGCATTATAAAACCAAAAACTTTAAAAATCCGCTCCCATGCTCCCATTTAAAAACATGCCACAGAGAAGGGTGTGCGCGCGCGCGCCTGTGCCTGTTTACCCCACATCCCGGCATGATGGATTTTTCATGGTGTGTTGCTAGGAATACTGAGATACGGTATTAAAGCAGTTGGCTTTGAAACAGACTTATATTCCCAGGCTGGCTGTGCTAGCTGGCTGTGCAAACTTAGACCCTCTCCGAGCTTTTTAGTTTGCTTATCTGTGAAGGATTGATTTAAATGATCTTAAGGCTTATTCAAGCCCCAGAATGCCTCAGTGCTTCATATTGTCAGAGAAGGTGGGTAACTCTGGTCTCACCTCACCCGCGGCACTGTACCCATTTAATATATGTCTGCACTGGGGCCTTCTGCTGGGACTGGGGGAGGAGGTCATTCCTCATGTCCAGCCCCACCCTTCGCAGTCATTACAGGGTCCTCCTCTGTGGGAAGACACCCCACCTCAGTGAGAGTGGGAGCCCAGGCTCTTCTTTGCTTTCTCTGGCCTCACGTGGACTGTGGAAAGCAAATTGTGGTGACCTTCTTTCCCCTGAACACCCATTTCATTCTTGTTTTTTTTTTTTTTTTTTTGGCGGTCCTCCTCGGCTTGCAGGATCTCAGTTCCCCAGTCAGGGATTGAACCCGGGCCACAACAGTGACAGCCTGGAATCCTCACCACTAGGCCACCAGGGAACTCCCCCATTTCATTCTTATAGGGAGGAGGATACAGGGCTTATATCTGACTTGTCCCAGCATCCGGCGGGGGGGGGGGGTTCCCTCTGTTTATTGAGACTTGATATTTAAGGGAAAATCATTCACCTTTTCTTCCCAAATTTTGTTCTTCTTTCAGATTGATTCATGGTGCAAAGATAATAGCTATGTGATTGCTGGTTATTATCAAGCTAACGAGCGAGTAAAGGATGCCAGGTATGTCCATGCAAAACCCCTCTATGGTCTGAAAGAATGATACTGTGAGGGAGATGATCTCTGATACACGTTTTGACCTCTGTGGTCTCAGGATGCAAAATCTGTTAGAACCCCTCTGGGCCCTCCTTGCTTGTTTATAGTATTCCAGGGGGACTGCGGTGTGGGTAATTCCAAACAACAGTAATTCTAAACATTTATATTAACGTTGGGATTCTGTTCTGTATCTTCTTTATTTTGCTTGAAGGGAATTCATATAATGAAAGCAACAGTCCAGGGCCTCCTGTTTCTATCGCCACTCAGCTGTGTCTTGCTTCCCATTCCCAGGGTGGGAATGATGTAGGGCATAGCATTAGGAAAGAACTCCACTCTTTGGGGGGGTTAAAAAAAGAGTAACTTGTAGGTGTGGTGCTCTTAAGGTCTGATAGTTTGATGAAAATGCAGTGTTTGCTGCTTCTTTCATGTTAGGTTCCGGTTTCTTTTATCCGGCTATTTGCACCCACTGTGATTCTCACTAATGAGCAAAGCTGAGGTCTTTGCTTTATTTCTGCGTCAAAGTCCCAGCAGAAAAACACTTGACACCCTGTAGTTAGGATAATTTGTGGAGGACTTAATAAGGCGGTTGTTTCCAGAGGTGTGAACGGTATGTAAGAGAACTCAGGAGAGGGTGGTGCAGTCACCTGGAGCTGGTGACGAAAGCTGGTACCTGCGCTGCCAGAAGGGGTGAGGGGGGTTGGGTCAAGACGTCCAGCCCAAGGATAGAGTGCCCTGTGGTCGAGGGGTACGACCAGCAGCCAGCCTGATGGGACCTCACAGGCCGAGTCCCAGAGGAATCAGCACCCTGACCAGCCGAAAGCCAGAGGCAGAAGCCGGGGTGCCCTCGCACGCTTCCCTCACGTGGCCAGGCGGCCTGGGACGCGGTGAAGGACCCCAGACCGAAGTGTCTCCTGGAGTCACATCCGCTTGCCCAGCAAAGGCAAGAGGCTGGACTCACAGCGTTAGGGCCATAATACAATAAGCTGATGAAACACTTCAGGGACGGAAGCCGTTTTGCCCTAGAGGACTGGGCCCAGTCGGGACTCAGAGGGAGACAGGGTCACCGGCGCAGACTCCTGTGAAAGCCTCTGTGTGGGCCACGGCGCAGGGGCGCCCTCTGAAGCCTGGCTCCCACGCTCTTCCCGCCCACTGCCGTTCGGGCTCTCTCTCAGGTGCATCTCTTGTTGACCACGCCTTCCTCTTGAGCCCCCCTGCCTCCCGGGTGCTGATGAGCTGGGGGTATTCATGGCCTGTTCATGGCCGGTGTCAGTCTTGGTCTTTGTTACACGAAAGAGGCTGCAGGGCACAAAGAGCCTGTCCCGGGCCAAGCTCTGTGCTGAGCCAAGCTGGACTCTTGGCCCTTGCCCTCGAGTTGCTGGACTGAACACAGAAGGCACCGAAACCTAGGCCTGTGGTGCAGGCCCCCAGGCCCCATGCCGGGAGGGCGGCACAGAGGGCTGTCCAGCAGTAGCAGGCAGGCATTGAGTCCATTGCCGTGACCAGAGGGGCCCCCGGGGAGGGGTGTCGTTTGAACCGGATGCTTGCGCGTGGCAGGGTCCTGTCACGTGCAGACGTGGGGAGCAGAGGGAAGAGTGCGGAGCGGGGACAGCGTGATGCAGACACCGGGTGGAAACCGGCAGGAGCGTGGGACGCACGCACAGAGGCGGCGCCAGCAGGTGAGGCCACCCTGACGGCTGTGAGGCATTGCACTATTTTGTAAGCAGCAGGGAGCCGTCCTTGGAAGGTTTCCTGGAAGCAGACAGTACTGTCCCGCAGCTGTTCTCGCAGGAAGGAGAGGAGAGGGCCAGAGGTGATGGCGCTGGCTTCCTTCCTCCCCCGCCCCCAGACGCGCCCGCACAGGCTCTCCCCTCCGCTGCCTCACTTGGCTCATGGCCTCTTCATCGTCCTGCCTCTATTCGGAGCTCATTGCAGCCCAGCCTAGAATTATCTTGCTCAGACACCACTTTCATGCTCTTCACACCTTCTAGAATTTCCCAGGTCCTTCACCTGCTCTGCTCAGGAGGTCTTCATTCTCCCACTGAAGCCAGTGTCTAAGTGCCTACCAGCCGTTGGTGAGAGCTGTAGAGAGTGTGGTGGGCGGTGAGACAAGTGTGTCCAGTAACCCTCTGGATCCCTTCTGACCCCGTGAGCCTCGGCCGTACTCCGGGATCTAATCCACCCCCCCAGCGTGTTTGGAGTAAACCTCCAGTCACTACCACTGTGCCTGGCCTGGGGCTTTCTTGGTGTCATCCTTTCGAATCCTCACAAGGGCACTCAGCTGAAGAAACTCCAGCCAGAGACGCTCGCTGCACCAAAGCCACACAGCCAGGAAGCTCAGAAGCTGGGATCACGCTGACTTCCTTCTTCAGTACCGTTTGCTTCTACCTAGAAAACCTTCCCTTCTCTCTTCAGCCTCACCTAGCTAAAATTTTGCTCCTCTTTCAGAAACATCGGCTGATTCACATCGTCTCACAGCATAAGCTTTGGAGCCAGGTTAGACTTGGATTCAAGTCCTCAGTGACTTACTGATTCACCACTTTGGCCTCAGTGGTCCTGTCTGTAAAATGGAGCTAACGAGTTCGTCCCCCGGAGAGTGGCAGTGAGGAGGGCAGACCGAAGCCACATGCAGCGTGCTGATTAACTGTGTTTGATTCCAAGTAGAGGCCGGTCCTGTTCCTAGTCCTGCGATTACCTTTTCTAAAAAAGGATCATTCAGTCACTGTTTTAATCGGAAAAAAAGAACTATGAGGTGTTCGTAACCTAAAAACTTCAGGTTATCCCATCAAGTTTTATTTAATCATTTCATAATTGCTGGAGCTTTGCTTCATGATAAACATTTCATGAGGGGTAGATTTCAGTACGAGGTCCAGTGCCTTGGCCTGAGGTAGATGCTCAGTAAAGAGCTTTTAGATGTAAATGTAAGATCTCAATCACAGGTAGATGCCTAGTTTTGTGTGGGTTGGGAAGGGGGATTGGCAAGTGGCTTCCATCTCCAGGGTCCCCACCATTGTATTTGGCAGCTGACTGTTCACAGGAACAAGGACTTGTGCAGCCTAGTTGGAAACAAAGTACTGACCTGACTGTCACAATGTGACAATCTGACATTAGGAGTGGAGCAGGTCGTTGTTAGAGACTAAGTGTGAAATACAAATAAGAGGTAAACAAAATTGGTAGTTCTTTGAAATACTTTGGCAATTCATTAACTATTGTAAGTTTTAAGTTCTTTCAAAAGAACACGTGTTAAGTGTGAGTTTGGGGGCACCTGAAATGAAACATAATAAATGTTTCTCGATCCCCTTCCCAATAAAAGTCACCAAGCGCTATGATAATCATAAACGTTAGGATAATAGTATTTTGCCAGTTTCTTTGTGGCAAATGCTCCTAGGGAGAAGATCACGCTCTTAGCAAACGCTGGCTTCGTTTCCCTTCGCACGTAAGGTGTGAGTGAGCGAGGACCCGCAGAGACTCGGAGCGCGGTGCGCCTTCTCCGCAGTGGGCGGGTGAGTCAGCAGGTCCCACTACGCCGACTCCTGTGAAGCGCTGCCTTCACTTTGAGGGCCTTCCGGGGTGACCTGAGGGACAAGAATCCCTGAGGCCCTTTCTCTATGAAACTGTTTTTTTGTTTCATTTTTCTTAACACGATACTGCAGATAAATAATCACACATCTCTATAAATTCTCAATTTTAAAAGTGAAAATAGAATAATTAGATGAACTTATTTTTATAAAGCATTGAACCAGCTTTTTTCACCTCAACCACAAAGAAACGATCGTAATTGTATAGTGTGTTTCTTTATGGCTCTGTCCCTGCTTCAGAAAGCTGAGACTCTAATTGTGCAGGGGAAAAAGCTGCACAAAAAGACAACTGCATACCAAGGCTTAAGTGTTCAGAGAGGGGACGAATGGACCTCGTCTGGGGCAGCCGGCAAGACGTCCCAGAGAGGATGGTGTTTTCTGGGCATTAAAGATGGAAGGAATTGAGTAAGCAGAGGTGGGCGCCGAAGGGCGTTCCAGACCCGGAAAGGTCTGAGTGGGGGGAGGGGTGTGTGAGGAGGAGACGCGCAGACAGTTCCCTGGGATGGAAGGCACACAGAGTGATGCTCCGGGGGTGGGAACGGTAGCTGGTCCCGTGGCGAGAGCGGCTGGGTCTGCCAGCCTGAGCACGGGGGGCTTTTATCTTCTAAGAAGAGCCTGGAAATTGAGACTGGTGAGGAGGCAGTTTTAGAAACGCATGCCTCCGGTGACAGGCTGAAGGGGGCGGGCGGCAGGGAGAATGAAGGAGGCAAAGCGGAGGCGCCTGGAGCGGGGCTGGAAAGAAGTGGGAAAGGTCACCTCAGCCAGAGAAACTGGGAACAAGCTGGCCTGCCTGCCTCGGATTCCAGCCGCCCCGGATTGCAGCCGCAGGGCCTTGGGAGCCTGGCAGGCCGTAGGGAGGCTTCGGGGTGCTGGCCCTCCGGGGTGAGGGTGCAGACGCCAGGCTGCACGGCATAGTGAGGAAATGGAGCGAGAGGGACAGGATCGTCAACTTACTAAAGAGGTTGAAGAAATATGGTTGAAAGCGAGAAGAGAAGTTGGACCGTGGCTGGACAGAACTGGTTAATTTTCTTGTCCTAAAAAGGAAGAGACTCAGATTTGACATCAGAGCTGGGCCCGTTGTGGGGGAAGGGAGCTAAGTAAGGCCCCGAGGGGGAGGTCAGAGTGGATGGGCCTGCGGGCGGGAGGAGGGGGGCGCAGGGACGCGTGAGACCCGCTCTCCAAGTCACCCCATTGACGTAAGGTGGAAAGTTGCCATTTATCAAGGTTGCGGTGGGCGCAGGGCCAGAGCCAGCCAGGGAAGGCTCACGAGCACTGAGAAGATCTGGAATGGCTTAGGGATTTTTAAAACTAAAAAAAAGGAAAAGCAACTGACTCCATTCCAGCGGCTGAGGGCGAAGATGGAGGTGGGCCCTGGAGGCTGCTGGCCTGGGGCAGCTCTCAGCAGCACAGTTGTCTGCAGGCCCTGGGTGGCGCTCTCCCCCGGGGTCCAGGGAGCCTTTCCCTTTAGAAGACACCCTCTCAAGATCCCCTCCCAGGGCTTCCTGGTGGGGGAAGGGCCCTGCTCTTCCCTGTGCCCCACATGGCCCACGCAGCATTCCCCATCTTCACCAGTCACTGCAGGGGGAACGCAGTCACCAGAAGCTACTTAAGCGGGCGGGCGTAACAAGCTCGGGCAGCTTGCTGGTGCCCTTGGTCTTTGTATCATTGCTGTTCACTCTGCCTTAGGCAGACAGCGTTGAACGGCGTTAACTAGAATGCGGTAACCTCGCTGGTTCTTCTCTCACAGTCCAAACCAGGTTGCAGAAAAGGTGGCCTCCAGGATCGCCGAGGGCTTCAGCGACACGGCTCTCATCATGGTAAGTCGCTCTCACTCGCTCCTGAGTCTTCTGTGTGCGGGATGGCTGCTGAGCATCCTCTTGCAGACGTGGGGCTTTATCTGTTGATGTCAGCGGTTTTCCTCTCTGCGGGTACTTCATCGGACCGTGGGCCCCTTCTGCAGTCTGCTCGCAACTGCACGCTTACACTTGCTGAGCCACAGGCCGCTGCTGTCGCGGCGCACCGATTTCCAGGGGTGGGGGGGCGTTCCACTTCAGCAGGTCTCACAGTGGGGTCCCCATGCCAGCAGCACCACCACCACCTGGGAATTTGTTAGAAATGCAGATTCTAGGGGCCTAGCAGTCTGTGTTTCAGTAAGCTTCCAGATGATTCTCACTCAATCTCAAGTGTGAGAACCATTGGGAGGGAGCCAGGGAGGGGAGTAGCTCTCATCAAGAGCCCTGTAAACCTCAGTTCAGATGGGATTCTAACAGGGAAGGCAGAAGTAAAGTTTGGAAGCTTCACGTTTGTGAAAAAGCAGTAAAGTACTTAGTGTTTCTCCGGTATGACACAGCACACCTGGGCCGTGCTCTCGTGGTGTCATGCGCCGTGAGGTGGGGTTTCTGCCACGGGCAGTGTTGACACTGGTCCTGGGAGAGCCACGAGGAAGGGCCTGCAGACTTGCAGCGGAAGTGCTGGCTCTGTTCACGAGCATGTCCTTTGTCTCGTTGCAGGTAGACAACACTAAGTTCACGATGGACTGTGTGGTACCCACAATCCATGTGTACGAACACCACGAAAACAAATGGCGCTGCCGAGACCCTCACTAGTGAGTGCCCTGTTCCCAGGATGGCCCACGTGCCACGTGCGCTGGTGCCATTCCAGGCACCCAGCTCCCACAGGAAAGCTGATCCCAGCCTTCTGGGTTTTTAAGTTAGCGTCTTCCCCAGAGGAGTGTGCAAACCTCACACAGAAGTCATGCCTGTTCCTCGACCCCTGGAGGACTGAGGCCTACAGGGTTTCCAAGCAGTCAAGACAACCTGAGTGTCAGTCGAGGGTCTTCCCACCTCAACCCCAGGGCACCCCTCCCCAAGCCACACCCTCTTTCCAGGCATTTGGTTTGGTTTATTTGTAATCAGTCATCTACTTCCAGCTTTTTCAGAATTTCATTTGGAGGGTGACTCTTTCACGTTTCAAATTCTTTACGTACATCTTCATGTGTTTAAACGTACGTGTTTGTTAGTGTTCAGTACTGTCTTCCTTTATACCACTCTGCATGTGGCTGGTTTCCTGTTTACTCTATTCAAAAGCCACCGGTTTTCGTTAAGAGGCTGATTTCTCCTGTTTCACCTCGTAGCGATTACTGTGAAGACTGGCCAGAGGCCCAGAGGATCTCGGCATCACTCCTGGAAAGCCGGTCCTATGAAGCGCTCGTGGATTTTGATAATCACCTGGATGACATTCGGAATGACTGGACAAATCCAGAGATCAATAAAGCTGTTCTGCACCTGTGTTAGGGAGGGATCTCAGTGACTGGCCTCTGGGCATTTCCACTACACTGAAGAAGAAAAGCTATTTTTAAATGTAAATAAAATCTCTCATAGCCCGTGTGGAAAGCTGACAGTTTTCAGAAGTGGCATGTGCCTTGAAAGAGGGCACAACGTCCCATCAGTCGTCTTTCTAATGCACAGCCTCGAGAACAGGCACAGACTGTCCCATCTGACCATCCCCGTGGAGTCCTTCCCAGTTGTACGTTGCTATAATTCTTTAAATCAAAGCTATTTCTGCTTGTCCAAGATTGTTCCTATTAAACGATTTTAACGTTTTATAATCTGCAGAGAATACTTTTTTTTATTTTTTATTTTTTTTTTGCGGTACGCGGGCCTCTCACTGCTGTGGCCTCTCCCATTGCGGAGCACAGGCTCCGGACGCGCAGGCTCAGCGGCCATGGCTCACAGGCCCAGCCGCTCCGCAGCACGTGGGATCTTCCCGGACCGGGGCACGAACCCGTGTCCCCTGCATCGGCAGGCGGACTCTCAACCACTGCACCACCAGGGAAGCCCTGGAGAGAATACTTTTTAAGGCTTATGAACTATCTTTAAAAAAAAAAAAAAAAGGCCCAGATCTTATACCCAAATGAGAGTGCGTGTGAGTTTTCATCCTGTTTGTGTTAATATCGTCCAGACCTGGGATTGGGCAGGCACGTAGCGTGCGAGTGCCGAGCAGTGTCTGAGAGCTGTGTGCTGGTGTCAGCAGGTACGAACGGCACGCCCCCGCCCACCCCCCCAGCCCCGCTGTCAGGCTTCCGTAGCTGCCACGACTCTACACGTGGGAATAATGCCACAGTTGCCTGAGAAACCTTCATCATTAAGGGTAAAAACAAACATTGTTGGGAAGGCAGCTTGGATGGGAGCACAGTGTCATAATCCTCAACCAGAAAGCTTGTAAACCTGTGGAACCAGAAGAAAAGTGGAGCCATGCTAAGATTATCTTTAAAAGGCAAGAATCGGTCCTGACTCCTGACTGACTTGCATGATTGTCCAAATGGTTCTAATTTATGTCTCCAAGACAATTATTTTTTTTGTATTTGAAGCAACAAAAGCGGAACAAAACTTAGGGTCCCGGAGTTTTATACTGCACTGTCTGTAATCGTTATACTTGAAACAATCAGTCAAGCTTTTTAACCCAGTCATAGGAAACTGATGGGGAAACTTTGTGGTTCCATTACATCTTTTTCTTTTTTACATGAATTATTTCACGCAGAGTTCAGAGAACTGTACCTTTGCTACTGTCTTTTTTTGGACTACATGAAGGAAATTTGTAACACTCGGATAATCTATTGAAAAGGTTTATGACACAGCATTCATTATTTTCTCTTAATTAACAAGTAGGAAATATTTCAGCATTGCTTACAATAGATGTGCTTTATCTGGTCCACCAGATTTTCTCTTCTTTCTTCAAACGCTGCTCGCCCTTGGCTTTTTAAGCTGACTTTAAGTCACGTGGGGAAGACAAATGAAGGGGTGATGGATGCATCGGTACACTTTTATCTTTTCACTCTCCTCGACTTAGACGCCAGGGCCAGCACAAGTGGAATGCAGTGCAGTCTCGTCCCAGATGGGTCTGTATTTGTCTCGAAAAAGAAAGAGTTATTGCCAGCATTTACCACAGAAAAGGCTGTCTTGGGACTTCCCTGGTGGTGCAGTGGTTAAGAATCTGCCTGCCAATTCAGGGGACAAGGGTTTGATCCCTGGTCTGGGAGGATACCACATGCCGGGGAGCAACTGAGTCCATGCGCCACAACTACTGAGCCTGCACTCAGAGCCCGCGAGCCACAGCTACCAAAGCCCGCGCGCCTAGAGCCCCGTGCTTCACAACAAGAGAAGCCACCGCAATGAGAAGCCCGCGCACCGCAACGAGGAGTAGCCCTGCTCGCCACAACTAGAGAAAGCCCGTGCACAGCAACGAAGACCCAACGCCGCCAGAAATAAATAAATAAATAAAAATAAAATAAAGTAAAAAAGAAAAAGAAAAGGCTCTCTTTTCCTGGGATTAAAATGAACGTGTGCTACCTCCAGGTCAAGGTCAAGGGGAACTGGCAGAGCTGTTTGGAACAGAAGGTGTGGCCAAGGCTAGTTTTGGAGGCATTGCAAGGATAGTCTTATTTTCCCTCATTTTCACCTCTTTGTGGAATTCTTGTTCTTGATGCCACCACCTTCCCAGGAACATGTACCGTTCTCCAGTTTGGATTTCAGCCTAGAACCAGGCGCCCCGTCTATGGCTGAGTCGGGCTTATGTTTTCAAAAGAAAGCATATTAAATACTCTAAAGGGAGGAACGTATCTGTGAAAAAAACAAAAACAGGTTTCCAGAGTGCAGATAATGGTCCTGGATGCTTGTCAAGACAGCAGAAGCCTCTGAGGGGAGCCCCAGGCCCTGTGCTGGGCTCCCCTCCCTGTTACCTCTCCAAGCCTTGCTGTGTGGCCTCTGAGCCTCCAGTCTCCTGGCCCTAAGAGCAGTCTTCATTCTCCCCCACGCAGCATGAAAGTGAGAGCCTGTCAGTTAGCCACTGAAATGGATTCATACTCTGCCTTTTCCTAGAAGAGACTTAAAGGAGCAACACAGAGTATATTTGTACATCGAAGAGACCTCCGTCCGCCAAAATGCCCGAGTAACCCTTTCCTACTTAAATCTGAAGGGGTCGGAGGGGAAGGGGGAGGGCGGGGGGGCGGTGTAGCGATATCCCCTTAGAACCAGCCATATGCTTAAAATCCTGGTGGACATTTTTCTGTCTTCCATAGCATCTATCCATCATGAAGTGAGTGGGACAGATGAATTACTGGTTTATGTAAAAATGCCATTTTCCATGTCTAAGAACTGGGGATACTAGGGGCTTCCCTGGTGGCGCAGTGGTTGACAGTCCGCCTGCCGATGCAGGGGACACGGGTTCGTGCCCCGGTCTGGGAAGATCCCACATGCCGCGGAGCGGCTGGGCCCGTGAGCCATGGCCGCTGAGCTTGCGCATCCGGAGCCTGTGCTCCGCAACGGGAGAGGCCACAAAAGTGGGAGGCCCACAAACACCAAAAAAAAAAAAAAAAAAAAAAAAAAAAGAACTGATCATACTAAATGTGAAAAGGTAGGCATAAAAGACAAAAAGCAATGCGTACACTAAGGAAAAATTGACTTTGCTAGTTCTAATGAAATTAGATTGACCTAGAATAAAAGGCAAGTTAGAAATCTTGAGTAATTGAAGTTTTCCAGGCATCTGGTATTTTTAAGCCTCCTCAGTGTAAAAAGTTCTGTCTAAGTAGCTTTGACTTAATAGCTCATTTTTCTGATTGATGTGTTTGGAAAACCCTTGTTCCTGTGTGTAGTCATTTTCAGCTTTTCTGACCTACCTTTTTAGTTCTGCCTTCAAAGGAAAAATATTTGTTTCCAAAAGTGCCCCGTTTTAGTATTTTAACTGTGTTAACACGGTAGCTGCTCTGTGACATCCTGTTAAGTAGAAGCCAGAAACATAACCATGAGCATTCATCTCCATACCCTGCGGAGATTTTCAGCAATTTTAATGAAGAGAGCTGAATTTTAAAATAGACTTTCGTTTTACTAATTGACATTCCTTTAGCCTTTCCATCAACTCAGTGCCTCTTAAGCATTAGATGTTTTTCTTCGGTTCAGTAGAAAGCCTGGCAGCAAATGTTGGTTTGTGTTCCTCCTGCCACCTCTCAGATAGGTGGTGTGTTAACCTGACTTCGTGCACACTTCAGCATCCAGGGGATAACTTTGATATTTGTATCCTCATAACGTTGACTTGTTGTTACTCCTAAAATGCTTACGATCTCCTCGAATGGGATGCAAAATCTGATCAAGTTTTGCATTTCTCCAAAATGAATCCCCATTCTTCTAAGGAGCTTTTTTTCCCTTAAAGATTAACTTCTTGGGATCTAGTCCAGCTTTAGAACCACCAAAAATTGTGTCTTCCTTGGTCTTTTGCTTTCAAAGTAGTGTGACAAGTGCCAGCAGAAGCTCCACTTCGATTTGAGTGGAGAAAACCTTTGGCTTGAACTTGCGTTACCATATGAAGCAGAATAGCGTCCTGTATTTAGTGCTGTCTGAGAAAAGTTCCGAATACAGTCAGTGAGCCTGTAGTAAGTAATTGCGTTTCCGAATACAGGCACACCTCGGAGATATTATGGGTTCAGATGGAGATCACCGAAATAAAGCAATAGAGTCACATGAATTTTTTGGCTTCCCAGTGCATATAAAAGTTATGTTTACATTATACTGTAGTCTGTTAAGTGTACAATAGCATTATGTCTGAGAAAACAATGTACGTACCTTAATTTTAAAATATGTCATTGCTAAAACGTACTACCCATCACCTGAGCCTTCAGCGAGTCAGGACCTTTCTGCTGGTGGAGGGTCCTGCCTCAGTGTTGACGGCTGCTGCCTGATCAGGGCGGTGGCTGCTGAAGGCCGGGGTGCCGGTGGCAGTTCCTTAAAATGAGACAACAGTGAAGTTTGCTGCATGGATTGACTTCCGTGAACAATCTCTCTGTAGCATGTAATGCTGTCTGATAGCATTTGACCCACAGTAGAACTTCTTTCAAAATAGGAGTCAGTCCTCTCAAACCCTGCCTTATCAACTAAACTGATGTCATAGTCTAAACCCTTTGTTGTCATTTCAGCAGTCTTAACATCTTCATGGGGAGTAGATGCCATCTCAAGAAACCACTTCTGTGTCCATCCGTAAGAACTCATCCGTTCAGGTTTTATCATGAGGTTGCATCAATTCAGCCACATCTTCAGGCTCCGCTTCTAATTCTAGTTCTCGTGCTGTTTCCACCACATCTGCAGTTCCTTCCTGCTCTGAATCTTGAACCCCTGAAAGACGTCCATGAGGGCTGGAATCGACTTCTTCCCAACTCCTGTCCATGTTGGTATTTTGACCTCTGCCCAAGAATCACGAATGTTCTTTTTTTTTTTTTTTTTTTTGCGGTACGCAGGCCTCTCACTGTTGTGGCCTCTCCCGTTGCGGAGCACAGGTTCCAGACGCGCAGGCTCTGCGGCCGTGGCACGGCATGTGGGATCTTCCTGGACCGGGGCACGAACCCCTGTCTCTTGCGTCGGCAGGCGGACTCTCAACCACTACGCCACCAGGGAAGCCCACGAATGTTCTTAATGGCATCTAGAATGGGGAATCCTTTCCACAAGGTTTTCAATTTACTTTGCCCAGATCCATCAGAGGAATCACTGTGGCAGTTAGAGCCTTAAGAAATGTGTTTCTTAGATAATAAGACTTACAGGTCAAAATGACTCCTTGATCCATGGGCTACAGGTTGGAAGTTGTGTTATTAGCAGCATGAAAACGCTATTAATCTCATTGTCCGTCCCCATCGGAGCTCTTGGGTGACCAGGTGCATTGTCGGTGAGCAGCAATATTGTGAAAAGAACCTTTCTTTCTGAGCCTCAGGTCTCAACAGTGGGACTAAAAATATTCAGTAAACCGTGTTGTCACAGATGTGCTGTCATCCAGGCTTTGTTGTTCCATTTATGGAGCACAGGAGGAGTAGCTTTAGCATCATCCTTAAGGGCCCTAGGGTTTTCGAAACGGCAAATGAGCATCGGCTTCCACTTAAAGTCACCCTAACATTAGGCATTAGCCCCTAACAAGAGAGTCAGCCTGTCCTTTGAAGCTTTGAAGCCAGGCATTGTCTTCCCCTCTGCAGCTAGGAAAGTCCTAGAAGGCATCTTCTTCCGGTAGCAGGCTGTTTCCTCTACAGTGATCATCTCTTGTTCAGTGCAGCCACCTTCATGGATGACCTGAGCCACAGCTTCTGGAGGACTTGCTGCAGCTTCCCCCTCAGCACCTGCGGCTTCACCTGGCACTTTCGTGCTACGGAGGCGGCTTCTGTCCTTCAACCTCATGAACCGACCTTTGTTTCAGACTTTCCTCCTGCAGCTCCCTCCCCTCTCTCAGCCTTTCGTAGAACTGGGGAGAGTTGGGGCCTTGCTCCGGATTAGGCTGTAGCTTCAGGGAATGTGGCTGGTTTGATCTCCTATCCAGACCACTCAGACTTTCTCCATATCGGCAGTAAGGCTGTTTCCTCTTCTCATCAGTGTGTTTACTGGAGTAGTGCTTTTAATTTCCTTCAAGAACTGTTCCTTTGCATTCACAACTCAGATAACTGGCACAACGGGCCTCTGGCTCTGCTTTCCACACGCCTTCCTCACGAAGCTTCATCGTTTCTAGCTTTTGATTTAAAGTGAGAGACGTGCGGCTCTTCATTTCACTTGAACACTTAGAAGCTATCGCAGGGTTATTAATTGGCCTAATTTCAATATTGTTGTGTCTCAGGGAATAGGGAGGCCCGAGGAGAGGGAGAGAGGGGGGAACGGCTAGTCTGTGGCGCAGTCGGAACACGCGTGATTTATCGTTTGCTGTCTTACATGGGTGTGGTTTGTGGCGCCCCAAAACAATTACAACAGTCACATCTAAGATCACTGATCACAGATCCCCGTAACAAATATAACGAGAGTGGAAAAGTTGGAAATACTGTGAGATTTACCAAAATGTAACACAGAGTGAGCAAATGTTCTTGGGAAAATGGTGCCAATAGACTTGCCCAACACAGGGTTGCCACAGACCTGCAATTTTTTAAAAATGCAGTATCTGCAAAGCGCAGTAAAAGGAGATCTACCTGTGCTTGTGAAGTTCTCTGGACAAGGCTTCGGACCCAGCGCAGCGCCTGTAGTCGGGGAGCCTGCCCCGCGACAGGACACTCACCCGAGTTTGCTGAGGGCCCTGGGTGCGCCCTGGGTGCTGAGGGTTACGTGAATTGTGTAGAGTGGACCTCGCTGTCGTCCCCCAGCTGCCCTTCTCCATTGCGCTGACCTCACTACTGAAGAGATGGTCATTCCTCAGAGAAGGGTGTTCTCAGAAACTGATCTTCCTTTTGCCTGGGAAGGGCCTCGTCGCCCCGGTTCTTAGACGGCGGCGCCAGGCTGCAGTGGTGTGTGGTGTGGGTCCCAGCTGGCTACTTCAGCTCTGTGGCCGTGGGCGAGTTACCTCTCGGGTCTCGTCTGAAGAAGGAGGGTGATGACACCTACTTGCAGGGAGGTTGTGAAGACCAGAGGTACTAATACATGTGCTAGCTCTTAGTAGAATGTGTTTGGGCTACGCTGAATAAGGTTCTTCATGCAAATGTTTTAACAGTTCTACAACATACTGTTGGCCAGACTGACCCTCAAGGTAAAAGCCTACTTAGTCCTTTGCTAAGAAAGATGTTAAGTGTTTATTCATCGTAAACATTCAGTGAACGTTTATTGAATGAATGAGTGAATAAAAGCATTTGCTCTCAGCAGTAACAGCAGCTTACCTTTCTTTAACCCTTCGTTTACACTTGTCTTCCCAGTCCATGCCCCCCACCCCAGCCCTGAGGATGTGGAAGGGTGTTATGGTCTGCATTTCACAGGTGGGGAACCAAGGCCCGGACTAGAAGTGACTGCCTGAGGACTCCTACGGCCAGATCCCAGGGCGCGGGCCTCTCCTGGGAGACGAGGGGCAGAGAAGCCGTGTCCCTCCTCCTCTTTCCACGCTGCCTGGCCTCGCTCCTGCCCCCACCCCAGTCTTAATGCAGCTTCTGGCTTACTACGATGTCAGTGTCTGTTCACAGTAGAAAACCCAAAAGAAACTAGAAGTCACTACCATTCTGCCAGCCTCCCATTCCCCCCTGTTCACGAAGACGCGACGGAAAGCTGTCACATCGTCAGGATCTCCTGAGACCTTTAATGTCCTGGATACTGAGATGCAAAGTGGGAAGCATGGGAAGCCTACATTTGACGAGCTTACAGTGTAAATTAAGAGGTAAAACGCATAATTACAAGGAAACTGTTAGAAAATTTGTGCAGATTCTCGAGCTCAGGCCCTGAGAATCCAAATTCATTGAGATTTCGGACCCAAAAGTCAGTTTTTAGCAGGTAATTCAGGCCATACTTGTAAAAAACCCTGAGCTCTGACCAGAATCCATGCATTATTGTGAAGAATTAGAGATCCTCAGAACTGAAGTGACTTACCCCACTGTGTACACTCAGCCAGGGACAGAGGACTCGGACCGTTAGGCCGACCCTGTGAAGTTGCTAATTCAACAGGTCAGCAGCTCAAGCATCACAATTCCATAGGGTTCACCCTGGCGGGATTCAGGTCTCCTGAGTGAACTCTGTCTCAGCAGGAAGCTCTTTGATTTTTTTCTCTTTTAAAATGTGCCACGCACGGAACGCATGAATGTGCTGTAAACATTTGAGCAACAGGAAGCAGGCAGGTGATGCGGGACTCACAGCTTCTGAGCCATCTCAAGCCCCTGGACCCAGGACGGCAGGGCAAGGACAGTATTTTATACTTTCCCTGCGTCGCAAGTTATCTTATACCTAGGAAGACCTGTTGATTATCTTTAATTTTTAAATTATATCTGGAATCTGTCAGTACTTCCCACTTCCTGGAGACGGCTCTGTACCAAGAGTGCTCTGTGCAGCTGCCTCCTGTGTCCCCAGGGCCCTGTCCTAGGCCCTGGTGTGCGGGACATACCCCCGGAGACCTGCTGTTGTTCAAGTCGGACAAAGGTAGGAACTGAAAAAGCAGAATCATCTGAAATCTCCCCATTTGCTGAATATCCTCTCCCCTAAATGTTACAGTCCTTTATTTTTGAATTCTGAAGTCTTAGATTTAAATTTGTTGAAAGAAATGTAATTGATATTTTCTGGATTATTTAATCACTTCATTTCCAGAACCGTTAAGTTTGCCCTTTATATTCACGTCCTATGTTCTCTATGTTCCCGTCTCAGACATATTTGGCAAGAGGTTTTTTTTCTTAATAAAATTTACTTATTGAAATATAACAGGTGTATAGAAAAGTGTACAAATCACAGGTACGTAGCTCAGTGAATTTTCACAAAGTGGACACAGTGGGCAGGTGCAGGCTCTTGTAACCACCACCGAGCTCCAAATATAGGACATTAGAACACTGCCAGCACCCAGGAGCCCCTCATGCCCAAACCTAGGTTAGTTCCGCCTGGTCTTTGAGCTTTATATAAATGGAAGGGTACAGCATGTATTCGAATTGTGTGTGAGATTCATTCATGTTACATGCAGCAATTTTTCATGCATTTTCCTTGTTGTGTGTTATTTCACTGTGGATGGACAGTTGGGGTTTTTCCTGACTTGGGCTGATACAAATCTTGCTGCATTTAATTTTTTTCTTTAATTCATTTATTTGTTTGGTTGCGCCGGGTGGGCTCATTAGTTGCAGCTTGCCAGCTCCTGAGTTGCAGCTCTTGGGCTCCTTGGTTGCGGCACACGGGCTCATCAGTTGTGGCACAGAGGATCCTTAGTTGTGTCATGCGAACTCTTAGTTGCGGCATGCGTGTGGGAATCTAGTTCCCTGACCAGGGATCGAATCCAGGCCCCCCGCACTGGGAGCGCGGAGTCTTAACCCCTGCGCCACCAGGGAAGTCCCTAACTTTTTTGTATTGTCCTTTTGTGCGCATACGTACACGTTTCTTTCAGGATTATGTGCAGAAGTGAGCCTGTCGGGGTGTGTATGTTCAGCTTTTTAGGGGACGTTACCAGTTGAACATCTGCCCCCCACTTTCTCCGTACCTTCAGCAACACTGCGTTGTCAGTCTTTTGAATGTGAGACATTTTGGTGGTGTGGAGTGGTATCTCATGGATTATTGGTCTACATATGAAAAGTAAAATGATAAGCTTTCCAGAAAATAACAGGAGGATATACTCACGTCCTTGGCTTGGCAAAGATTTTTAAACAGGACACCTAAAGAAGTGATCAGTTGTAAAAAAAAAAAAAAAAAAGTGGTCAGTTGTACTACATTACAATCAAAACTTTTGTTCATTAAAAAAAAATTACGACTATGAAAAGGGAGGTCACAGAGCAAGAGAAGGTATTTATAATACAGTCACCCAACAAAGACTTCGATATATCTATCCAAATATATTAAAATTTTCAGACCAATTTTCTTAAAAAGGCAACCCAACTGATCAGGTACTTCCCAAAAGGAGATATCCAAATGGCCAGTAACATCAAAAATATGCTCAAGCAGGGCTTCCCTGTGGCGCAGTGGTTAAGAATCCGCCTGCCAATGCAGGGGACACGGGTTCAAGCCCTGGTCCGGGAAGATCCCACATGCCGCAGAGCAACTAAGCCTGTGTGCCACAACTACTGAGCCTGCGTTCTAGAGCCCACGAGCCATAACTACTGAACTCGCGTGCCACAACTACTGAAACCCGTGCGCCTAGAGCCCGTGCTCATAAGAGAAGCCACTACCTACGCACCTCGACGGAGAGTAGCCCCCGCTCGCTGCAACTAGAGAAAGCCCGCGCGCAGCAACGAAGACCCAGCGCAGCCCAAAATAAATTAAATAAATTTTAAAAATATATATATATATATACATAAGCTCAAGTAAAGTCATCAAGGAGAAGCAAATTGAAAACAGAGTTTTTCATGGGAAGAAAATGTGAAGAAGCAGAATCCCCCCGCTGCGCACAACTCACATGTCCTGGGCCTCCCGGCACAATCTCGCGTGCTGTGACAGTGTCGGGCATCCGAAGAAGCAGCAGCCTCCGTGGCTCCTTCGACTGGGCTGGCGTATTCCTGAGACTCGGCTTTAATACTAGGCCTCTGCCAATAGGGAGCAACAGTGCTTTGTCTGAGGAGCTCGGCTGTGCCTTTCTCCTCGCCTACTTAGGACGTGTCCCTCTGTGAGACTTTTAAGGAAGACTACCGTGGGTGTCACCTGCTGCCTCTGCCATCCTTGCCTCCCGCCTCATCCTGCCCTGCAGCTCAGAGCTGGTCCTTCCAGAGTCCAGCTGTTCTGTTCATCACCTCTAATGCCTGGAATTTACTCAGTGCCGGCCTCACTCACTTTGAGGAGCTCAAAGCCATTTGCAGATCCTGCTGGTAAAATGGCTGTCCCGTGGTCAGCCAAGCTCTCTGCTAAATTACTTCTGGGCAAAGAGGCCATTCTCGAGACTCACGGAGACCTGGGGTGCCTTTACGAGCAGGCTCTGCGCCCACGGAAACCCCAGGAGGAAGGCGCCGCTCCTCCAGACATTACGGGATTATCCAGGCGGGGCAGCGTTCCGCATAATTACGGGTGTGGTTATCCAGGCCGGCTGATGCTCTGCACACGCAGCCACACGCCGGGCCACCACCCACATCCGGGCAGAGGGAAACTGAGGCAGGAGTGGACCTGGGCGAGTGGGGCAGGCCGGCAGCAGAGAAGAGGGGAGTGCATTTTGGTTGGGGGCCTGGGGGAGCAAAGCAGATGGGGAGCAGCCTGGGACCCAAAGGAAATTAAGTATTTTTCTAGTTTCAGCAAGGAGTCACTTGGCATTCTTCCCAAAAGTGTCTCCCAAGCAGCCCACCTTTGAGACCAGCTTTATGCGGGCAGAGCCTCAGACACCCTGTGGACCCCACACCTCCCCTGGGCCTGCAGGAAGATCGGGGGGGTGCTCAGAGCTGCCCTCCGCCCCCGCCCCCACCCCCTGCAGCCTCTAACCCAGCTGACTCCTGGCCCTTCCTTTACTCAGCCGTCGGGACACTGTGAGAGCAGAAGGCGTAGAGAAGAGTCCCCTGCAGGCCCCGCCCACAGGCCCTTCAGTGCGGTGAAGGCCACAGCTGGTGCGCAGACACACAGGAGGAGCTTGAGTTCCTAGGTAAGGGCCGTCCTTCTGGTGGACGGAAGCTGGGGCAGAGAAGCATCCCAGGTGGGCCTCCCACCTGAGCAGCCAGGGAGGCGGGACAGAGCCAGGATGTGGTGGCAGGGAGTGACCAGCCACCGGGAGTGTGGGCAGGTTGAGACCACTATCCCTGGCTGCTACCACCCTGTTGCTCGGCTATTCCCTGCAGATCCACCCTGCCCCCCAGCCCTGTGGGTCCGGGGATTGGGTGGTGGTCAAAGCCTGGCAGTGGGGGCGGGAACTGTCAGCCCGGGGGGTCGTGCCTGGGGGCCAGGGTGACAGCTGACTTATCTCGTCCTTTCCATTCGCGCCTCTGATGTCTCACATACCTGAGCATCCAGACCAGGCAGTGTGCCCCATGCCCAGCATAGAGAAAGTGTGGGTGCTGTGTGTACAGGCTCCAAAGGGCAGGGGAGCGGCATTTAGGACGAGGAGGAACATTCCAGTGAATCGTGGAAAAGGAAGTGTTCCTCTATGCACACAGGTCTCCCTCCTCTGTGCCAATAAGCAAGGACTGCCCTGTGGTCAGAGAGAATGTGGGATGTGAGAGCACATGCCCACCCACTGCCCACCTTGCTTGGTATCTCCTGTGAAATACCTTCGATGGTGCCAGCTT